GGGAAGACGCAGATGTACTCCGTGAACATCTGATCAAGCTGCTAACAGACTTGGCCAGGGAGGACCCAGACAGGCTCCAAAAATACCAGCAGGAAAAGGAGAGGTTTTTGAAGGAGTTTCCTCAGGTAAAACAGGAGCTGAAGGAGAGCATAAAAAAGCTCCGTGAGCTCGCAGACCATGTTGACAAGGTGCACAGGGACTGCACCATCTCCAATGTGGTAGCCTCCTCCACCGGCATTGCGTCTGGCACCCTGAGCATCCTTGGCCTGGTTCTGGCACCCTTCACAGCGGGCCTCAGTCTGGGACTCTCAGTCACTGGAATAGGGCTGGGAGCAGCAGCTGCTGTGACAGGTGTGTCCACCATGGTGGTGGAAAAGGTAAACATGTCATCAGCAGAAACCCAGGCCAGTCTCCTTGACACAGCCCAAATAATTTCCTATGGCTTGGATCTCTATGAAGTTAAAGACTTCGGGAGGCATATTCATGCCATCAGGGTGGCCAGAGGCAACCCTCAATTAGTAGCCACTGCCCAGCACTACATAACCACTGGGAGAGTCTCTGTCCAAAGTGCCCAACAGGTGAGAAATCATTTCAGAGGCACACCTCTGGCAATGGGTAGAACAGCCCGCATCGTGAGTGGAGTCACATCAGGTTTATTCTTGGCACTGGATGTGTACTCACTGGTGAAAGACGCACAGGACTTGCAGGAGGGGGCAAAGACAGAATCGGCTGAGAACATGAGGCAGAAAGCGCGGGAGCTGGAGACGAAGCTGGAGGAGCTCACCTGGATCTATGAGAGTCTGCAATAGGGCCCGACTGGCCACCCCCAGAGCAGTGCAGGGACTGGGGACGCATGCACGGTCACGGGGAGAAACCACCTGCTTTGGGTTAAAGAAGACACGGAGGGCAGAATAAGGGAGAGACAGAGAGACGAGCAGTGAGAGGCCAGGAATAGGGGAGCTTTGAAAATGGGAGAAAGCCAATGAGTTAGGATTGCAGAGATCCAGCACAAGTAGCAGGGGCTCCTCTGTCGCCCTCCCCAGGGTTTGATATTCCAGCAAGAAGGGTTTCCCCCTGGTGACGGTCTCTAGCCCTACTTCGCCAGCATCAACTTACCTTTGAGCTCAATAGGTAGTGACTTGTTTGTTTCCATATTTTATTAAAGTATAGTTGATTTACAATATAGTATTAGCTTCAGGTATATAGCAAAGTGATTCACTTATACGTGTATCTGTGTCCATATTTATCCTTTTTCATTTTTTATGAGTTCTTCAGTTTAGTTCAGTTGCTCAGTCATGTCCGACTCTTTGGGACCACGTGGACTACAGCAAGCCCAGGCCTCCCTGTCCGTAACCAACTCTCGGAGTTTACTCAAACTCATGTCCATCGAGTCAATGATGCCATCCAACTATCTCATCCTCTGTCATCCCCTTCTCCTTTAGCCTTCAATGTGTCCCAGCATCAGGGTCTTTTCAAATGAGTAAACTCTTCACATCAGGTGGCCAAAGTATTGGAGTTTCAGCTTCAGCATCAGTCGTTCCAATGAATATTCAGGACTGATTTCCTTTAGGATGGACTGGTTGGATCTCCTTGCAGTCCAAGGGACTCTCAAGAGTCTTCTCCAACACCACAGTTCAAAAGCATCAATTCTTCAGCACTCAGCCTTCTTTATGGTCCAACTCTCACATCCATACGTGACTACTGGGAAAATCTTAGCTTTGACTATAGGGGGCTTTGTTGGCAAAGTGCTGTCTCTGCTTTTTAATATGCTGTCTAGGTTGGTCATAACTTCTCTTCCAAGAAGCAAATGTCTTTTAATTTCATGGCTGCAGTCACCGTCCACAGTGATTTTGGAGCCCAAGAAAATGAAGTCTGTCACTGTTTCCATTTTATCCCCATCAAGGAGGGCTGCATGATGCCAAATTTTCTCCCCACTCATGGAAGATGGAGGGATGTGGACACAGCAGAGTGGGCCCCAGAGTCTCTGTGAAGGAAGAATTCAAGCAGCTTTCCGCCTGCAGAAGTGAGTTGACACTTGATGCCAGTCGCAGAGGGTCCCCGTTGGCCCCGCCAGACTCAGCTCCCTGTGGCCCCCTAGGGACTCGGGCCTTGAGCTCACTTCTTTGGACAAGAGATAATTGATGTTTATGACTCATCTCAAGCTAACAGGGAGCTTTTATGGAAGGAAAGTGTCAGGGAATGTTTAACAGTAGGATTCCTGTGTGCTGTTTCCTATCTCTCTTGAGCCCTGTCTTCCTTATCAGTCCATGGCTGGTGAGAGGAGCAGGCAAGCTGCTCCCAGGACAGAGATCAAAGAGATGGGATGTTTGCACAGGATCTCCTTCATTAGCTTTTCCATTTGGTGAAAGGGATTGCTTACGACCCTCTTTTGACATGGATCGCCTTTTGGCCTTATGGCCTCTATTGCTCCTTGCTTCCTTGGTAACTTGGAATAAAGTCTGATCTCTTGATGTTTATCTGAAGAAGCTACCTTGTATTATGGTATATATACTCTTATAGAATTCAATAAAGCACCCTTGTTCCGTCAGAGCTTGGGTCCCTGTGTCTTTCTTTCTCTCTCTCTCTATTTCTGGCTGATTCCCTGGAGCATGAAGGCTAGCTGCATAACCCCAATAGGAAAGTACATTTTTAGACTACTGGAAGGTTTAAGGATTTCTCTTCCTCTAAGGAAATGGCATAGTCCAGAAAACAGACCAACCAGCCAGTTTCCCCATTTGGGGACAAGTCTGAACCTCAGTTTTCCCTGAGGTTGACATTGACATAGTAAATGTTTTCATCACAGGGCTGAGGTAGCTTGCACGACGGTGTGTTGGAAAGTGTTTTACAGACTGTAAAGTGTTCAGGTGCTGCTATGTTTTCCCACAAAGGTTCAGCTTTTTAACAATTTGTTTTCATTTTTGAAAATCATCAAATTTACCATTTTACCCATTTTTAAGTGTACAGGTCAGTGGTATTAAGGAAACTCACATCATTGTACAGCCAGCATCACCATCCATCCACAGAATGTTTTACATCACCAATGAAACTCTGTCCCAATTATACACCAATACCTCATTCTCCCTCCTCTCCACCCCTGGAAAGCACCAGTGTGCCCCTGATTTTTATGAATTTGACTCCTCTCAGGACCTCATGTGGTGAAATCATACAATATTTGTCCTTTGTGATAAGATTTTTTTTCTTTCATTTTTACTTCCTGTGGTAAAATATACACAACATAAAATGTACCACTTAACCATTTTTAAATGTACAGGTGAGTGGTATCAAATACATTCACATACTGTGCAGCCATCACCACCATCCATCTCCATATTCTTTCTTCCTGAAACCTGAGACTCCTCTGGACCGTGAGTCCCCCTCCCCCTCCCACAGCCCCTGACAACCACCACCCTACTTTCTGTCTTGATCGATTTGCCTACTCTGCAAACCTAATAAAAACAGAAAATACAATAAGTTTCTTGTAACTGTTTTATTTCACTGAACATAATGTCTTCAAGGCACATCCAGGCTGTAGCACGTGTCTGAAGTTTCTTCCTTTTAAAATAATTTTTTAAAAAGATCTTTCTTCCTTTTTTAAGTGAGTAATAGTCTGTGGTATGTATAGACAGAATTTCTCTTATATTATTTTTCTTTCTTCCTCACTTTGGCTATTGTGATGAGAGCCGCCTGGCAGTGAGTGGCCGAAACCAGTTCCCTTGAGGTCACCTGTGCTGTCAGCCTGGAGGGGATCCCCTGTGCTCTGCCCTCTGGGGTCCACCTCCATCAGTTGCTCTGATGACTCTAAAGTCCTCTGGTCACATGCTCAGTCTGAAGCTCCCTACTCACTCCCACCGACCCTATAAAAAGTGACGAGGACAGGCAGGTGGGTCGCTGTAGGCATCCTGGGGTAGTTCTCTTGTGATGTTGGGGTTAAGTGGAGCCCAATTTTATCATCACTGAATCTTTAGGATCTTGAAATGGGTGGTCTCATCTCATGCCCCTGGGTTGAAGCCTTGCTGAGTCCTCACCTGATTTGAGTCTGCAGCTCCCGTGGCTGCTCTCCCATGAGCTGGTGTTTATTGAGTCCATGATGGGCTGGCATTTATTAGGCGTTCTCAGCAGAGGACATTCATGACAGCTGGACACAGCTCCTCTGGGTTAGCTGAGTTCTGCATCTCAGGGAGGTTTTGCTAAACTTCTAGGCAAACTCATGCTAGTGGAAGAGAGAAGAATCACTAGGAGGGAGTTTACTGGGGAAAAAATGATTTAAAGGAAAAAAAAAAGCAACTTTAAACAAGGAGTGGCATTTACAATAGGCAGTGACAACCTTGGTTTGAATCTTGGCTCCTCCCTAAGTTGCTGGAAGAAAGCCCCCTCCTCGCCCCTGCCTTCAGCTACCCTACTGCAAAGATAGGTCAGATTCCTGGTCGGTAATTGTAGGACCAAACCGTAGAGTGTGGTCTTCATGGAGTAACACCCATCACTCCTCTGTCCCTCCCTCTAAGATGGGGAAGGTGGTCATGATGACCGGGGCCGTTTTCTGGGATGAAACAGCCCTGATGGATGGGCAGGTGGGCCTCCATGTGGGGTCCAGCCCCACTGCTGCGCCTTGTCATTGGGGCAAAGAAGAAAATCTACCAGTACTCTCAGGCTGTAGGAGCTTTACTTTTGTTTCTTTATCTGAAAAATGGAGCTGACACTTCCTAGACCTGATATGAGAGTAAAACAGGAAAGGTGTGGACAGAGCCTGCACAGAGGGTGGCTAATGTTCAGCCCTCCATACGCTTTGGCTCTTTGCTCAGGAACCAAGCAGAAAATAAGACTGGTTTTCTGTTGTTGACTTTTGAGTTGCCAGATCACTAGCCTTCCTATAAAGGTCCTCCATTTCAAGAAAAGAAATTGAAGCTAGAAATAATCCAGGCTAGAAAATAGCAGCATGCTCTCAGCCCTTCCCACAAACTTTCCATTCATTCAAATGACCTTGACCACCAAGGCTGGGCCTCCTCAGACGAGTTGCTGGGACCGGAAGGCACTAGTTCTGTGCCTGTAAGCAGGGCTAAGTCTAGAAGGACTTGATCAAAAGGGGTGGGGGTGGGGAATGGACAGAGAGGCTGAGGGGTGGCCTTAGGCCCCTCTCCCAGGTACCAAGGGGGCAGAGCAAGGACAGGGGACTCTGCAGGGGAGGTCCTGGAGGGCTTCTCAGAGGAGGTGATGCCAGACTTTGGCCTTACAGGGTGAGTATGATTTCTCCAGGTTCGATGCAGCAGGTGTCCCTGGCAGAAGGACCTGCATGAACAAACCCTAGAAGCCACGTGGATGTGACCCTCATCAGCAGCAGTATGACCAGTATGTGATGAGGAGCTGGTGTGTTCTGGAACTGTGTACGTGCTGGTGGCAGGAGGGTGAATAAAGCAGGCAGGCTGGTAAGCGGGTGGGTGGGGGGGCTGAGGGGGTGGAGAGACGGTCATGGGTGGGGCAGTGGGTGGCCACGGGACTCACGGTGTGTTGATGACAGGTCTCCTTCAAGGAACCGAGGCAGGGGGGCTGTGTCAGAAGGACGTGGCATGTCAGGGCTGGGCTTGTTTCTCTAAGGGAGCAGCAGGAGAGTGGGAATAGTTCTGGGTAGGGCCTGGTGGGGGCAGGGTGATGGTAACTTGAGCCACTCAGAAGTGAGGGTTTCACTTTCTCTTCTGGTTCTCCGAATATATCTGGGACCGGAAGGTATGCGTTGTTTATTGCAGAGACACCCAGAAGGCAGCTGCATTTGCATAGCTGAGAAAAACTGGATCTTGTTCACATTCAGCCAGAGGAAGTCTCCTGGGTAAGCAGCAGGGGGTATGACCCCTGCCCATCTCCTCATCCTCAGGACGATTGTCTGAGAAAACCTAGGTTGCCACTAGTTGACATAAGAAGGGAAATGGAAGCTCAGAGAGGTGAGACCATGGCCCGAAGGGCAGAGCCTGGATGTGGAAGCAAGTGTGTCTGACAGCTTCCTCCCTTCCCGGGGCCCCTAAACAGGGCAGAGGGAGGTAGACGCCTGTTCAGGGGGTCTCAGCTTGGGATGTGGACCCCTGAGACATGAGCGGTGACCCCAGAAGGAAGGTGTATGTTGTGGGTGCTCAGTCCTTTGGGAAATTTCAAGAAAGATGACGGGATGGAGGAGGGCAAAGCAGCTAGAGTCCTTCCTTCTTGTGGCCTGGCCACCTTGAGTCTGCCCCTGGGTGCTGTGCTGGGGCTGGTGGGGGTTTCTTTTGAGATACAAGGAATCGGGTTTCATCACCCACCCGGTCTCTGAGTGCCTGCTCAGTGTCAGGTCCTGGGGGAGAAAGAAAGGCCTGAGAGAGGAAGGAGAGGAGACCAAGTGGGGAGATGCAGGCCTTGCCACACAATGCCCACATTATGATACAGGTTTTACAATCTTAAGACAAGAAGCCAAACTGTAGATACATCAGTATAACAAGAGGGGCATGAGATTAGATCTATGTGTTTATAAAGGTAGAGACAAACCTAGAAATTTCTGGGTTATTAAAATCACATTCCAGTCCCCTCCCTTACATACCCATGTCAGAAGGTCTGGACTTGGCCTCCACTCTGTCCACGGAGAGCTGTGTGACCCGGGCAAGTTGCCTCCCCAGGAATTGTTTGTTCACATCTCTTACCCATTTGTGAAAAACTGCATTCAGTCTTTTCATGTGGATTTTAGGCTCTCTCTGTGTTGGGAATGTTCATCTTTGTCTACTATAAATATTGCAAATAGTGTCATCTGGTCTCTCATTCTTTTCTAACTTGTTTTGTGGCATCCTTTTGAAATATTTAGTTTTTAAGAAGTCAAATAAATCAAACCTTCCTTATGGCTCTGGCAATTATGTCTTGATGAGAATGGTTTCCTCAACTCAAAATTATTTTTACCATTTTTTCTAGTATGTTTGTAGTTCTTTTTCTTTTCCATTTTCATTTAGATCCTTTGGAATTGATTGATTGCTTAGAATCTTTTTGTCTCTTCCTCTTTCTCTTTGCGCGCCTCTCCCCCTTCCTTTTTCTCCATCTTCTCCTCCTCCTCTTTCAAGCAGGACATGTTTAAGTGGTACTTTTCTCAGTCAAAGAGTAGCACACCCATTTCTGTGCTTTCAAAATTGCCTCCCTTGCAGTCAGGAAATGACTCCACGCTTTTCCCCTCAAAGTCCCAGGCAGTAGTTAGGGAGCAGAGAGCGAAAGACTGGAGGAAGCTGGGCCCCACACCCAGACCAGACCTGGACTGGACATCCTGTGGGAGGGGAGGTTTAGGAATGTCCTGCTCGAGTCTTCAAGTCTCAGGATAGTATATCAGATTTTGGGTAAGCCTCATGTTTTTCCACAGGTCTCTCTTCCTCTTTCTCCTCTTACAAAAATATCATGGCTAGAGTAAGGAAACATGAAGAAATGCAGCTGTTTTCCTGCTACCTGTGAGTACAGTGTTCATACAAAAGCTTTCTTAAACCAAGATGGTGGAGAACACAGACCATGTAGGTCTCACATACTCTTTTACCAGCAGAGGGTGATCTTCTGGGAAATGATGACATGCCCATAGATGGAAATGCTCAGAAATCTGATGACACTCTCAATCAGAAAGAGCTTTTATGAAGACAGACAAGGGAAACAAATGGAATTACTCAACCATGGGTAAAGGAGGTATAGTAACATGTCTTTGAGAATCTGGTTGTTTCATGCCCCAGTAACAGGTCCCACACCTCATGTGTTATCCAGGCTGTGCCCAGGAGGGTGGAGGGTGCCCCAGAAGCCCTGGAGCAGGAAGAGCAGCAGAGAAGAGACAGAGCCCCCGCCCAGTGCTGGGAGCTGAAGAAACTCCACACAAATAGACCCACAGGCAGGAAAGTACAAGATTCCACGGGAGACTGGAAGGGTTTAGAGGAAGACAGCAGGGGGAGGAAGCTTTTGAGATGGGCCTCCAAGGACAAGAAATATTTCACCTGGTGAGGCACGTGGGGAAAGGCCTTGGAGGGGCAGCCTGAGCGAAGGCCTGGAGGCTGGGGGGGGAATCAGAGTCCAGGCAGCTGGGAGTCCTCTAGGCCCCTCCACCAAGCCCTGTAGAGTCAGGAGGGTGAGTCAGACAGAGTTGGAGCATGAGGAGCGCCCAGTGATGGGCTAAGGACTTTGAATTTGACACTGCCTTTACCCCTCCTGTCCCTGCCCATTGAGTATGAGCTGTCCCACGTGGAGTAGTCTTCAAGTCTCAGGATAGTATATCAGATTTTGGGTAAGCCTCATGTTTTTCTACAGATCTCTCTTCCTCCTTCTCCTCTTACAAAAATATCATGGCTGGAGTAAGGAAACATGAAGAAATGCAGGTGTTTTCCTGCTACCTGAGAGTACAGTGTTCATACAAAAGCTTTCTTAAACCAAGATGGTGGAGAACACAGACCATGTAGGTCTCACATCCTCTTTTACCGGCAGAGGGTGATCTGGGAAACGATGACATGCCCATAAATGGAAATGCTCAGAAATCTGATGACACTCTCTATCAGAAAGAGCTTTTATGAAGACAGACAAGGGAAACAAATGGAATTACTCAACTGTGGGTGAAAGAGGTATAGTAACATGTCTTTGAGAATCTGGTTGTTTCATGCCCCAGTAACAGGTCCCGCACCTCATGTGTTAGCCAAGCTGTGCCCAGGAGGGTGGAGGGTGCCCCAGAAACCCTGGAGCAGGAAGAGCAGCAGAGAAGAGACAGAGCCCCCGCCCGGTGCTGGGAGCTGAAGAAACTCCACACAAATAGACCCACAGGCAGGAAAGTACAAGATTCCAAGGGAGACTGGAAGGGTTTAGAGGAAGACAGCAGAGGGAGGAAGCTTTTGAGATGGGCCTCCAAGGACAAGAAATATTTCACCTGGTGAGGCAAGTGGGGAAAGGCCTTGGAGGGGCAGCCTCAGCGAAGGCCTGGAGGCTGGGGGGGGAATCAGAGTCCAGGCAGCTAGGAGTCCTCCAGGCCCATCCACCAAGCCCTGTAGAGTCAGGAGGGTGAGTCAGACAGAGTTGGAGCATGAAGAGGGCCCGGTGATGGGCTAAGGTCTTTGAATTTGACACTGCCTTTACCCCTCCTGTCCCTGCCCATTGAGTATGAGCTGTCCCACGCGGAGGAAGAGGTTTGGTAGAATCTCTGTCTGCCCACATGGAGGGAAGGACTCTGTGTCTGGCCATGCAGTTGGGCAGGGACAGGCTGCTCTAGGTGCCTCCCCTCTCCCACTGGCAGCCTTTCCAGGAAGTGACCAATCAGAGGCTAACAGAGGAGGACACCCAGATAGGAATCCGGCAGAAGGGAGGAACCATCCAGCATCCACACCCAGCTGAGCCCCCAGACAAGGGTCAGGACCAGGACAAGAATGGCAGGGAAGGACAGAAGAATAAGTCAAGGGTCGTGATGCATTTACAAGTGTTTGACATCATCCAGGATCCAGCCCTTTCTGCCTGAGCCCACCTCTTCTCTCTGACTTGACTCTTCATCCCCATGTTTCTTCATTGCAATTGGCTGCCCTGGCTCCTGGGCTCCCGCAGCTTCCAGGCAGAGAAGGAGGCTGGGGAGCAGTGAGCTCTGCTCTCTCATCTCCTTGGAGGTGGGCCTGTGTGAATTCTCTCCCACCCACACGGCCAGTGCCTCAGCCTCTGCCACTGGGCACACTCCCTAGTGAGCAACCTGATGGTTACTCTTCCTGAGGGACAATCCTGGGGATCGGAGAGAGAAGCTATTAGAAAGAAAGATGCTAGGATGGGGCTCAGGTGAGGGGATTTGAGGGAGACTCTAAGGACATGGGGCCACTCTAGATTGGGTGCTGCAGAGAATGGGAGGCAGCACTACCATGGGGTCTCAGTAACTCCATCAATGGAGAGGGGAGACCAGAGTGAGGATAAAGGTGTAATTGGAAAAGAAGGGGCAGTCGTGCTTTTCAGCCAAGGGAGGGGGCGAGGTGTGGGTGAGGGCGCAGTGATGGGTGTTTGCTGTCTCCTTCACTCCTGCCCTCAGGGTGACCCTGTGTGAGGCTGGAGTTCTGTGAGAGCCTTGACATCCAACAGGAGAAGAGCATCGCCCTGTTGTGATACCAGGCCAGCCTCGGGACATCAGGGGTTCTTTCTTTCTCAATCCTTTGTAAACATTCGTGTAAATAAACAGAAAGGAATATACCTATAGACTTCAAGACTCCTCTTCTTTTTAAACTTAATTAACAATGAAATATTTCCCATCATACTTACTCTTCTTGGCAACTTAGAAAGATAAGAAAGATTCGAACTCTTTGTGACCCCATGGACTGTAGCCCACTGGGCTCCTCTGTCCATTGGATTTCCCAGCCAAGCATACTGGAGTGGGTTACCATTTCCTTCTCCAGGGCATCTTCCCAACCCCAGGACTGAACCCATGTCTCTTGAGTCTTGCGTCACCTGCATTACCACTAGCACACTTTTTAACCTTTATGTCTCCCTTTTTGATCACACTTTATTTAAAGTCCTCTCAATGGAATATTATTTTGAACTCACGGCCTTTCACAGACTCAGCTTGGCCCAGTGAAACATCTTTATAGTAATCACTATCTTTTACTATTATTATTTTTGTGGGTGCCCCTTCTGACCTTCTCTGATTATCTTCAAGAGCATCCTTGCCCTTGCAGGAGCAGAGATGCCAGCCTGTGGGATCCACCGCCCCTGCAAGGGGTCTTCCTTCCTTTGAGTGGACAGAAGCCCGTGTGTGCATGTGCGGGTGGGCAAGAGGCTGCTGGACAGTGTGTCTGTTTAGGGTTACTGTTCATTCTGATTATTCTGGTTAAACCCCAGTTACCATCCCTACTTAGAGAATTTAAAGGGCTTCCTTAGTGGCTCAGAAGGTAAAGAATCTGCTCGCAATGCAGGAGACCTGGATTCCATCCCTTGGTTGGGAAGATCTCCTGGAGGAGGTAATGCCCAGTCTAGTATTCTTGCCTGGACAATTTCCTCCAGAAGAGCTTGGAGGGCTGCAGCCCCTGGGGTCGCAGAGTCAGACACCGTGAGTGACTAACACTTCCACTTTCACTTTTGCTTTCTAACAGAACTTGGTTTCATCAAAAGGAACGTGTCTCCCATACTGACAGCTGTCACAGCAGGAGTCACACTTATTTCTTGTTGGCATTAAATTTAACTGCTTCCATCATCTTGAGGGTGGTGGCACTAGAAACCACCCCATTTTGTGGGTTACTGACTGCTATAAAGTGACTGCTGCTGTCTTAGAATTAAAACAATCCAGTCCTAAGTGTATGTGGTTAAACAGATCAATTTGTACAGAGGGTTCTGCTCTTTCCTTCCCAAGGAAAAGCTTAGATAGTTAATCAATGTCTTTAAATGATATTACTACATTGGGAGGCAGAATGGTGTAAGAATGTGTCGTCAGGAGACAGGAACCTGGACTTGGATTCTGGCTCTAGCACTAGCTGTGTACTTTGAGTAATTTGCTTAATCTCTCTGAGCTTCAGTTGCTTTTCTTATAGGATCATTGTGAGAACTCAAAGTAAGTGAATTCATACCAAGCAATTGGGAAGGTGCCTTGTGCAAAGTGGGGAGTCATCAACCACAATAGCTAATCAATATTCAGGGTTGCATTTTTCTTTTTCTTGACTTAAAAATTTGGTATTATTTACTTACTTCTGACTGGGAAAAATAAGGATCCCATTTATTTTTTACTTTTTCTTATACCTTTCCCCATCTTCTGTTTATATCATTATTTCACTAATTTGATATCCCCTATTAGGAAGCTTTGTACTTGTAAGCACCTTATTTACATCTTCATTTGTTATGCTTTCAACTGGACCCACTATTTCTTGATTCTTAGCTTTGTAAACTGAGATATTAATTCTCCTCCTCCCTCTAGTGCTTCAGATCGCAAATTCTAGAAGTGTATTTTAATTTTTATATTGATTAACAAGTACTTTGATCACGGAGAAAGACTTTCTTATCTCTCCTTGCTATTCTTTGGAACTCTGTATTCAAATGGGTATATCTTTCCTTTCCTCCTTTGCCTTTTGCTTCTCTTCTTTTCACAGCTATTTGTAAGGCTTCCTCAGACAACCATTTTGCCTTTTTGCATTTCTTTTCCTTGGGGATGGTCTTGATCCTTGCCTCCTGTACAGTATCATGAACCTCCATCCACAGTTCTTTGGGCACTATCAGATCTAATCCCTTGAATCTATCTGTCACTTCCACTGTATAGTCATAAGGGAGTTGATTTAGGTCATACCTGAATGGTCTAGTGGTTTTCCCTACTTTCTTCAATTTAAGTCTGCATTTGGCAATAAGGAGTTCATGATCTGAGTCACAGTCCACTCCTGCACTTGTTTTTGCTGACTGTATAGAACTTCTCCTTTGGCTGCAAGGAATGTAATCAATCTGATTTCGGTGTTGACCATCTGGTGATGTCCATGTGTAGAGTCTTCTCTTGTGTTATTGGAAGAGGGTATTTGCTAAAACCAGTGTTTTCTCTTGGCAAAACTCTGTTAGCCTTTGCCCTGCTTCATTCTGTACTCCAAGGCCAAATTTGCCTGTTACTCCAGGTGTTTCTTGACTCCTACTTTTGCATTCCAGTCCCCTATAATGAAAAGGACATCTTTTTTGGGTGTTAGTTCTAGAAGATCCTGTAGGTCTTCATGGAACCGTTCACCTTCAACTTCTTCAGCATTACTGGTCGGGGCATATACACTTGGATTACTGTGATTGTGAATGGTTTGCCTTGGAAACAAGGAGAGATCATTCTACAGTTTTTGAGATTGCATCCAAGTACTGCATTTCAGACTCTTGTTGACTATGATGGCTACTCCATTTCTTCTAAAGAATTCTTGCCCACAGTAGTAGATATAATGGTCATCTGAGTTAAATTCATCCATTCCAGTCCATTTTAGTTCACTGATTCATAAAATGTCAATATTCACTCTTGCCATCTCCTGTTTGACCACTTCCAATTTGCCGTGATTCATAAACCTAACATTCCAGGTTCCTATGCAANGAACTAAAGAGCCTCTTGATGAAAGTGAAAGAAGAGAGTGAAAAAGTTGGCTTAAAGCTCAACATTCAGAAAACTAAAATCATGGCATCTGGTCCCATCACTTCATGGCAAATAGATGGGGAAACAGTGGAAACAGTGTCAGACTTTATTTTTCTGGCCTCCAAAGTCACTGCAGATGATGATTGCAGCCATGAAATTAAAAGATGTTTACTCCTTGGAAATAAAGTTATGACCAAACTAGACAGCATATTAAAAAGCAGAAACATTACTTTGCCAACAAATGTCCATATAGTCAAGGCTATGGTTTTTCCAGTAGTCGTGTATGGATGTGAGATTTGGACTATAAAGAAAGCTGAGCTCAGAAGAATTGATGCTTTTGAACTGTGGTGAGAAGACTCTTGAGAGTCCCTTGGACTGCAGGGAGATCCAGCCAGTCCATCGTAAAGGAGATCAGTCCTGGGTATTCATTGGAAGGACTGATGTTGAAGCTGAAACTCCAATAGGTCGGCCACCTGATGAGAAGAGCTGACTCATTTGAAAAGACCCTGATGCTGGGAAAGATTGAGGGCAGGAGGAGAAAGGGATGATAGAGGATGAGATGGTAGGATGGCATCACCAACTCAGTGGAGATGAGTTTGGGTAAACTCCAAAACCAAGACTTGAACATAAATAAATTTACCTTAAATTTTAAAAAATCAAACAAAGGAGTTTAGACTTTTGTGTTATTTTAATACGTTTTTAGAGCTAAGTTGTACCTTGTAGCTGCACATGATTTTCAGCAGAGCTTTAGTTTTTCCTGATATTTCTAATTGGCCTCTTTTTCACCCCTTGCACTGCTTATCTCCAACATTTCCTCCATTTCTTTCCAACTGTGCCTCATATGATACCGAGTTCCCTGTCCCCACAGACTCTGGACTTCTTATCCCATTCTGGACTGGTTTCTCCTTAGGTCTGCTGCATGCCCAGCTGGGATCCTTGGATTCCCTTCCCACTGGGTTGATGTTCCTGATTCCTGGATCCCATGTCTATCTCTCTCGTGGGTATCCGTTATCTTCCTCCGTAATTATACAAACACACCACCTGTTTTTTTTTTTCCTTGCAACTCATTCTCAAGGAGCTTTCTGAAAAGTCTGGTGAAGAGTGAAGCCTGCTGTGAATATGGGATGGGCCGTGGTGTTGGTAAACTTGTCCCCTGCTCTCCCCTCGGCCTCCCTCTCATCTTGATCCCTCTCTGGGACTCTCCCCAATAGACCGTTCTTCTCTCCTTTCAGCTGTGTCTCTAGGTATGAATATTTTTTAGGCGCTAATGCCTTGTGGTCTAGCCTAGATAGCTATATCCTAGATCCTATAACCTATATCCTAGATAGCTATCTAGCTATATCCTATTCATAGGTATAGTTTAAGGAGATAGTCTCAAATGTAGTTTTATACAAGGAGAATGTTCTTTACACTATTATTTGCATAAGGAATTAGAAACCACCTAAAGTCCAGTAGTCAGGGGAGGACAGCAGAGCGGATGGGGCACCATCGGGGTCCTCAGCTGCCCAGGGCAGGGATATAAGAATTGAGGTGGAGACAATGGGACTCCAGGCCTTTGTGGGATACAGGCTCTTGTAGAAGCAAGGGGAGTGTGGGCTCTGGGAGCTGTGTCACCAGGAACTTTATCAAGGCAAAGAATCAAGCACGGGGAGCAAGACATTATTTGGGATGAAAGCACTCATTTAACTGATACACATATATCCACAAATAAATATTTTTGTATATTAAAGGGAGTAGAGCATGGTCATCACAAAACTGGGATTTGGATCAGAAAGACTGGGTTCAAGCCCAGGTTCTGGCATCAGCTTGAAAACTTAGGCTGATGTAAGTTCAAGTGAGCTTCAGAAGCCTGCACATCATAGACAATGGACCAATATTAGATATTACCAATTAGTAAACACAAATGTTCCCAGCTTCAAGTAATTTCCGGATTATTCCTTCCTGTCTGTTCTTATCTCTGGTTTTATTGCTCCTATAACTTTGCAGATGGGTGTCTTCTGTCTGGTGACCTTCTCCTTGTGCCCCAACAGGAGAGCAGGACTCTGACTTGGCGGGAGATGAGTAACTTTCCTTAACTAGTGACCTGCAGAGCCCAGGGGACAGAGAACCACAGTGGGTAAATTCCCGGTGGCACCGGTGGCCGTCCCAGGGGAACTCACAGAGACCTCACCACTCCCTGTTCCCTGCAGGCACTGCTCACTCGTCATGGAGCCCACAAGCTGTTTTCTCTTCCCCAAGGGTGAAGCCACACCTCCTTCCAGCCTGACAGAAACAAGGAGCTGAAGGGAGATCTCTGAGACCCTGCTGCTGCCACCATGAGCTCAGAAAACCTTGGAAAATGCTCAGGTAGTCAGCTGCCTTTTTTCTGTCCAGTTCTCCATGTGACCCAGAATGTGGTTCTTCCAGGCAGAGTTAACCCACAGAGGAATCAAGAACCAAGAAGAGGATGGATAAGCATCCTGGAGCCCCCCAGAGGGGCCACGTGGAGTTCCCAATGGGGGAGTGTCCACAGAGCCTCTTTCCCAGCCCTCTCCTTAGGGAGCCACTTGCTAGGTGCTCACTTCCTCTCCCACTGCCTTCTCGCAAGTGACTCAGAAGTGAGGCCAGGACAGCCCATGAGGAGGGGGACAGCAGAGAGAGTCCTCAAGGCCACGCAGGGCAGTGAGGGGAGGTCATCCAGGGTCCCTGGAGCTCCTCCTGCCCTCTCCCTTGGCCTGGGTCTACTCCTGTTCCCAGGCCCTGGGCATCACCACAGACACCTTTTCTCCAGAACTTGCCCTGCCACCTGCCCAGCCGCTCTGCGAGGATCAGCGGACCCTGAACTGAACCCCAGTCTGATCTTTGCCAGCTCCCACCTGGAGGGGAGGGATGATGGGGTTTCACACAGGATCACATCTGGCTCCACCCCTTCACTGCCCATCCTGAGTGTCTCTGATCAGTAAGATGAAGCCTCTCACATGGTAGTCTTATTCAACTACAGGTGGCCCACAACCCTTTTTTAAAATCAGGTAGCATCGGTTTATAACTTTCTATGAGTTTCATGTGTACAACATTATATTTCTACTTCTGTATATGCTGCAGTGTGCTCACCACCAAAAATCACTTGCAATAATCCCTCTAGGTGTACTGTATAGTAGAATGAAGAAATCACAGGAGTTTAAAATAAGGAGGATTCAAGTCATGTCCAAGAAGTATCTGACACTTGACCTTGGATTCCACCTCTGAGCTTTCTGCTCACTGGCCTTGGGCTGTCCCTTATCCTGTCTGAGTCTCACTTTCCTCATCTGTGAAATAAGAATAATGCATCTGTGTGTGCATGTACCAGGAAACACATCTTACATCATGACCCAGCCCCGCCCTCCGTATATTATATATATATATATTTTCCAGTTGCCTGTGTCTTACCTACAATTCCATAACTTCTGGGCTTCCCTGGTGGCTCAGATGGTAAAAGAATCTGCCTGCAATGCAGGAGACCCAGGTTTGATTCCTGAAGAAAGAAGTTGCAACCCACTCCAGTATTCTTGCCAGGGGAGTTTCATGCATAGAGGAGACTTGTGGGCTACTGTCCATGGGGTCACAAAGAGTTGGACAGGACTGAGTAACTAACACTGAGCAATTCCATAACCTCTAGATCCCTGAAATCACACGGGGATTTTGGTAACTCATTTGAGCAGTGATCTTGCTCTGTACTGATCTGAGGCTATTTATTGTCATTACATTCTTTATCACATTTAATGTGAATATTCTTTTGTTTCACTACCAAAACATGAAAGCAGTCATTTATAGGGTGCTGCCAGTCTCTGCCACAAGTAGTAACTAACAAAACACATCCCTTGTATTCCATCTCTTTGTGTGTGTGTGTGTGTGTGTGTGTGTGTGCTCAGTTGTTCAGTTGTGTCCGAATCTTTATGGCCTCGTGGACTGTTGTCTGCCTGGCTCCTCTGTTCTTGGGATTTTCCAGGCAAGAATGCTGGAGTGGGTTGCCATCTCCTACTCCAGGAGATATTTCCGACCCAAGGATCAAACGCATGACTCTTGCATCTCCTGCATTGGCAGGCGAATTTTTACTACTGCATCTCCTGGGAAGCCCTCCTTCTCTTTCTGAAGGTTTAAAATTGTAGATTCCTGAAGACACCTAAATTCCAGGATTAAATAATTATTTCTGGAGGTTTGGAAGTCCAAGATCAAGGTCGTGGTGGTTTCTGGTGAGACCTCTCCACCTGTTTTGTAAATTCTAACTGCCTTCTCTCTCTGTCCTCACATGGCCTTTCCTCTGGGGGAGAGGGAAGGAATAGAGAGAGAATCTGGTGTCTTCTTTTCTAATAAAGACATTAAACTTATTGGATTAGGGCCCCACACTTATGACCTCATTTTACTGTGATTACCTCCTTAAAGGCCCAGTCTTCTAACATAGTCACCAGGGGGTTAAATCTTCAACATATGAATTGGAGGGTGGAAGGGAAACAGTTTCATCCATAACCCAAGGTAAGTCTGCCAAGAGAGCCCAGGTGATTGCTGCTCAAGAAAATGAATTTTAACTAATTTATACTAAATACCATTTTTTTAATGCGCTATAGAATTTATTGCTGATACTATGTTATGATAACAAAAGCAGATCATCCTTAAGGCATCAGATTTGTTTATTAGTTTAAGCAAAAATATATGATCCCTGTCACACAAAGAGATAATTTTAAATTTACTTGGACGTTGAACCAATCAATACATATATATTTGGAAACTATGCACCTGATGTGCTAAGTCCTTTCAGTCACGTTTCACTCTCTGTGACCCCATGGACTATAACCCATCAAGCTCCTCTGTCCATGGAATTCTCCAGGCAAGAATACTGGAGTGGATTGCCATTCCCTTCTCCAGGGAATCTTCCCAACCCAGGGATCAAACCTGCATCTCCTACACCTTCTGCATTGTCAGGCAGGTTCTTTACCACTAGCACCACCTGGTAAGCCCAACTGTGCTCCTAGTATCATATCATACCAGAGATAAGGCTGCTGTCCTCAGAGAGTACATGGATCACTGGTAATCAATCCTGAACCTAGTGAATAGCATAAAATATTGGGGAATATTGGAAAGCTAACAGATTTCTCTGGACATTGTTTATCTTGCCCCTCTGAGAGACTTGTAGATCTAGATGAGATTAGTTTGGAAAAGAGGTCTTGTTTAGTTCAGAGAATCGTCAAAGAGTCCAGTATAGTTGTGGACTAATCAAAGACTAAAGAAACTTTATAAGGAGAAGTAGACTTGGAAATCAAGTGATCCTCTTTTGAATTAGCATGTTTTAGTCAAAGGTATGGAATTAATGATAAGCATCGGTTAGGAATCTGTAATGTCCTCCAATGCCAAGTGACCACTAGCATCCTGTTTCCCATTATGATGATTCCTTGATGAGAGGTAGAAGGCATAATGAATATTGCCAGCTATAAAATAAACTACAGTTCAACACCTATGATAGCTAAAAAGAATTTTTTTTTAAATAGAAGAAACTCACTGAATCAAATGAATGCTAAGCAGAGCAAACACAGTGTACTCAAAACTGAGGTAAGAAACCTTTAATTACACAGGAAATCAATGGAAGGATTAATCATTTGAAGAGAAGATTCATTTTTCCATAGCCCCACAGCTATGAATGATATCTTCATGAGCCTGGGCTGCCTTCTCCAGTGAATACCGGGGACCTATTACTGGTTTCAACCAACCAATTTCCATTCTGGTTTGGAGGGCTGCTGCAAATTGCTGAAATGCTTCTTGAAGGATGAATGGAGAGCTACTGCTTTTTTTTTTTTTTTTTTTTTTGAGAGCTACTGCTTTTATGCTAGTTTCCTTTGTCATGGATCCTGTGGGTTTATTTCAATAGGAGCTCTGTGGCCAACAACTATTCCTCGTCCTCCATGTGACAAAAATTCAAATCATCACTAAGATTGACATTAGCAAATATTTCAATAATCACATCAACTTTTTTTCACCAACAGATTTCTTAATTTTATCAATATAATTAGCTTCTTTGTGATTAAACACTTCATGGGCTCCATTTTGGAAAGCAACCTTTTGTCCTTTCTTAGTAGTAGCTGTGCCCAAAATCTTTAAGCCATAAGCTCTAACCATTGGGCTTACTGCTCTTCCAGCTCCTCCACTAGACCCAGAACACTTCCTCCAGCTTTCACAGACACTGTGGAGCAGACTCGATAAGCAGTAAAACATGAGATGCTGATGGCAGCTCCTTGTTTAAAATCCAGTTTTTTGGGGACACACGTGAACAGTGTGATGGGCTGCCAAAGCAAACTTGGTGTAGTCCCCAGAGATCATCCTGGTAGTGAATGTCACCTTTCTTGAAAGCAGATACGTTCTCTCCAGCAGCTTCTACTATCCCAGCCACATTTCAGCTAGGAGTATAAGGTAGAAATGGTATTATACTGTGAGTGCCAGAGTGGATATATGCGTCCACTGGGTTTACACCACATGCTTGGACTTTGTTAGAACCTGGTGGTTTTCCAGAATTGGTACAGCAACATCCAACTGGAGTTTCAGCACTTCGGATCCACAAAATTCAAAAACTCAAATAGCTCTCACCAACTTCTATCCTGTCACCATAGTGATCTAGATACCTGTTCTAGGCTGGAAAATCAAAATCTGCAAGCCCTCCTCCAGATTCCACAGGGTTTAAAAAAAAAAAGCTACTCAATACCATTTATTATCCACCACACATTTTTCTGGGCTTTCCCGGTGACTCAGACACTAAAGAATCTGCCTGCAACACAGAGACCTGGATTTGATCCCTGAGTCGGGAAGATCCCCTGGAGGAGGGAATGGCTACCCACTCCAGTATTTTTGCCTGAAGAATTCCACGGACAGAGGAGCCTGGCGGGTCCATGGGGTCGCAGAGTCAAAGAGCACTGAGCGACAAACGCTTTCCCTTTTTCACTTCACCAGTTCTAACCTTATTCCTTTCCTCTCATCTAGATATTGAGATCTTTTTTGAGGATGTTGTTGAGTGTCTCTGGGACATACTGAGCAGGGAGGAACTGCTTCTCCTGCTGACTGAATTCCTGAGGAAAATTGAGGCGAAGGCTGGTTTGTCCAGGTAACTTGCACAGGTGTATCAGGAAGGTCACCCACAACCCCCAGCACCAGGCTAGTTTCCTCCTGGCAGGCACACCTCCTCCAAGCAGGACCCTATGGTGGGGGCTGAGGACGTTCCTTCTCAACATCTCGTAAGAAATGCTTCCTCCATGTCATTTGCTGGTAGTGAACAACCTTGAATTGACAAAAGATGAAACCTGCAAGAAAGGAGCAGGTTATGTGACCTTGGACATGTTACTGAACTACGCTCTGCTTTAGTTTCTTCATCTGTCCAGTTAACTGTGAGAACACTGAGATTATGCATGCAAAGAGCTTCCCATAGTGACTGACACAGAGTAGGTGTTCAGTCAATATTAACATTTTAAAAACTTGCTGGGAAGAGACAGGGACCAAGAGTCTTCTTTCTGGTGATGAGAATCAAGCAGAATTTCCTTTGGGGCAAGTCTGAAAATCCTGATGCTATCGTTTGTATTACTCAGGCTTCTGCCTGAAGCCTTTCTATTCCCCATCTTAGGAATTGTACCAAACGATTGTATCAAACCAAACAGCAGGATCCTGCTGGCCCATAAGGCAGAGAGGCTAGAGAAGAACTGGTTGGAGCTGAATGGATCCTGGATCTAGCGCTATCCAACTCTGAGGCTCTGTGCTTATATGTTAGAGTCGCAGACTTGCCTGTGTTCAATGGGAATAGCAATTCAGTCTGATGGACTATGTTCATGGCCTCAGAGTGAACTGTAGGGTCAGAGGTGGGGAAGCAAGGACCAGGGAGGCCTGGACCAGGGTCAGACCCAGGGGTCAGAGTGGAGCAGAAGGTCCAGGCTGGAGGACTAGGAGGCAGGCTTGGGCAGCAGGACCAGGACTAGAGTGAGGAGAGTGGGCCCCGAGGACACAGAACTGAAGAGGCTGTGACCCTAGCAGAGGTCCCCTGACTGGGAGGGGGGGCGTTTCTTCCCTCCCTGACGGGATCCCCTCATGCTGGGCTAGAGGGCCCTGGATGACCGTGTCTGCACACCCTGCCTGGGACTTGGCTTCTCCCTCCATCTGGCACCCTCTTCTAATCTACGTGGAGCCGCCTGACAGTGGAAGGCCGTGTGGCTCAGTGAGCCCTCCAGGCCCACAGTGAGGGGCTGCGATTGTGTGTCATTTGAGGGATTCTGAGGAGCCTCACGCATCCCCACCCAAGAGGACACACTCCTCCATCAGCTGTGCAAGTACAGGTCTCCTCAGGCTCAGCCGTTCAGATGGATGTTTCCTCGTCTTTTTTAGAGGTTCTACAAAGCTGCGCATGACCTTGGTGTGCAGGCTCATGAGGCTGTCACAAATTAACATGTGACCCCCTGAGAGGTCAGGCGCATTGCATGCTGGGTCAGGAGTCAGTGAGGTGGGCTGCAGAAGCCAGGGGATCCAGCAACACATCTGATCTCCAGGCAACTGGGGCAGTGGATGGACTCAGGGACCTTCTGCTGGGAAGGTCAAGGGCACAAGTCTTAGAAGACAGCAGATGGCAGACTAAAGGACTGTTAAAGTGCCTCCTAGTTCTGAGTTTGGGCTTTTTTTTTTTCTTCTTCTACAAATTCTAAGTCACAGAGACAGCCAATCTGCAAAGGGTGAGGGCACAGTGCCCAGGAATATGCTTTCATTTGAACCAATGGCATATTTGGGGGATCCCCAAAACCACCCTCAGGTTTGAGAATTCCCTATAGAACAGACAGGACTCACTGAGAGCCATCATGATCCCAAATGTATTACAGGAAGCCTGTGGGTTTCCATCAACCACAGGGCAGAGTCTGGGTTGATTTCACCCCTGAAGCTTCGATTGTCCCCAGGATGCATTACTGTTCTGGAACTCAGTGAGTGGCAGGGCACACGGAACACTGCCTGCCAGGGACACTCACCCGTTTAAAAACAAATTATCCTGACTTGTGGTCTCCAGCCCCTCCCAGAGGTCAGACAAATGTCCTAGAGTCCAGATCCTTCAGAGGTCAGAACTGACACCATGTGACCCAGAGGCCCCATCATACATCTCATCAGACTGTCCAGTGGCAAGAGGCCCAGGCAGACGAGGACATTCACATCAGCCAGAATATTCTAGGGGCTTAAGAGACCACTTCCCAGTAGCCAAGGGCAAAGAAATATTGACTCCTCACTACACACCGAGGCCCTTGAATACAAGTTTTCTGCTCCAATCCCACTTCTCTTTATTTGTGGAGTTCCCAACCTACCGACTCTTTGGAAGTGATGATGTTCACCTGTCTCTGAGGCATCTTTACCAAATACCTATTTTTTCTTTTTGGCTGAGCCACATGGTTCGTGGGATCCTAGTTTCACCATCAGGGATTGAGTCATATCCTGGGCAGTGAGGGTGCAGAGTCCTAACCTCCGGACCACCAGGGAATTCAGTCAAATACCTCTCTTAAGTTACCAGGATCCTAAGGTGACATTTGCTGATCTGTTCCAGGATTAAACGGGGCTTATCTGGTGGCTCAGATGGTAAACAGTCTGCCCGCCATGCAGGAGACCTGGGTTCAATCCCTGGGTTGATAAGATCCCCTGGAGAAGGAAGTGGCAACCCTCTCCAGTACTCTTGCCTGGGAAATCCCATGGACAGAGGAGCCAGGCAGACTGAAATCCATGGGGTCACAAAGAGTCAGACACGACTGAGCGACTTCACTTTCTCTTCTTTCTTTCCAGGATTGTATATGTATACATAAGTATATGAAGCATCTACAAGGTACAAAACCTGTGTTTAATGTTGAAAGTGAAAATTTTACATTTGTAAAATTCTTCTCTAATAGATTTATAATGCTAAATCCATATTTATGCAGAATAGACATTATGGAACCTATTTTGCATACAAGCAAACTGCCTTTCTAATCCCTTGATCTTCATTGTTACAGGAAAGACGAGGCTGCACTACACAAATATCTAAATGAATTGAAAGGAGACTTGATAGAGAAGGACCAGGAAACGCTCACAAAAGAGGAGCTGGACAAGAGGAGGTTTCTGAAGAAGTTTCCTCGGGTGAAGCAGCAGCTGGAGGAGCGCATAGGAAAGCTCCACGAGCTCGCAGACAAAGTTGACAAGGACCACAAGGAGTCTACCATCTCCAAAGTGATGGCCCACACCACTGGCGTTGCATCTGGCACCCTGACCCTCCTTGGCCTGGCTCTGGCACCTGTGATGGGGGGCGGCAGTCTGGCACTCTCGGCCGCTGGGTTAGGACTGGGAGCAACAGCTGCTGTGGCAACTGTGTCCACCAGCTACAAGGAACGTGTAAGCAGGTCAGCAGCCGAAACTGAAGCCAATAGCCTGATGGCAACTGGCGTCAAGAAATGGAAGATGCTCCTAAAGGTACTCAGGAGCAACTCCCGACTTAGATCAACAGAGAAATTGGCAAAAGCTGTGCTACACATTCAAAAAAATATACGTGCCATGGAAACAGGCAAAGACAACCCTGAATTTGCAACCAATGTAAGCGACTACTTGGGCCCTGGGAAAATCATAGTCCCAGGCACCCGGCTGGTAAATAAGGCCTGTTCCATGGTAAATAAAGCCATTACCATGGCTCCAGCAGCTGTCACAGGAGCCCGGATTGTGGGTGCAGCTACCGCAGGTGTCTTTCTCCTGGTGGATGTGGGCTTCCTAGTGAGGGAGTCAATGCACTTGCATGATGGTGCAAGGGCAGAGTCTGCTGAAAGCCTGAGGCAGCGGGCCAGGGAGCTGGAGAGGAATTTGCAGGAGCTCAACAATATGTATGAACTTCTGCAATAGGACCTGACTCAGCCACCCCCAGAGCAGTGCATGGATCAGGATACACATGGGTCAAGGTGCAGAGATACCTTGTTAGAGAAAAAAAAGAGAGGGAGAGAAAATTTTTGGAGCTGAGTATCAGGAATTTGGGGTTTCTGCAGCTGAACACAGCAGGCGAGGGATGGATGTTGGTGACGGCTCAGGGAGAGTGAAGGAAGGAACCTGGAGCCTGGATTGAGGGAAGAGGGGGAACTAGAGAAGGGTTGGGGGTGGGGGGAGAGAAACCACTTTTTCCCTTCATACTATGAAATTTTACTTTGTTTTGAGGAATAGCCGATTAACAATGTTGTGAAACAAAACAGTTTCAAGTGAACAGTGAAGGGACTCAGCCATATATCTACATGTATCCATTCTCCCCCCAATCCCCCTCCCATCAGAAACCACTTATTTTGAACTAAAGAAGTCACTGGGGGCAGCATAAAGGGAGAGGCAGGGGAACTAGCAATGAAAGACCAGGAACATGAATAGGTTGAAAATGAGAGAAAGTCAAAGAGCTAGGATTGTTGGAATCCAGGAGAAGTAGCAGGGGCTCCACTAGCACACTCACCAAGGTCTGATGCCCCAGCAAGAAGAGTCTCCCCCTGTTGGTGGTCTCTAGCCCTACTTCTCCAGCATCAGCTCACCTTTGATCCCAGCAGCTTATCTTAATTAGCTAGTGACTTCTTTTGCTTGCTTGTTTCTTTAATGGAAGTACAGTTGATTTACAATATTGTATTAGTTTCAGATATACAGCAAAATGTTTCAATTATCGCGTATTATGTATATATCTGTTCTTTTTAATTTTTTCATTACAGATTATTACAAGGTACTGAATGTTTTCCCCTGTACTATACATTAAGTTCTTGGGGTTTTTTTTTAATCTATTTATGTACAGTAATATGCGTCTTTTAATCCCACACTCCTAATTTACCCCTCTGCCCCTTTGGTAACAATAAATTTGTTTTCTGTGACTCTGAGTCTGTTTTGATTTGTTAATATCTTCACTTGTATTCTTCTTCTTTTTTTTTTTTTGGCCATGCCAGGCAGCTTTTGGGATCTCAGTTCCCTGACCAGGGACTGAACGGGGCTTCCCTGGTGACTCAGCTGGTAAAGAATCCACCTGCAATGCGGGAGACCTGGGTTTGATTCCTGGGTTGGGAAGGTCCCCTGGACAAGGAAAAGGCTACCCATTCCAGTATTCTGGCCTGGAGAATTCCATGGACTATATAGTCCATGGGGTCAAAAAGAGTCGGACACAACTAAGCAACTTTCAATTTCATAGCATTAAAAACACCAAATTCTAAACACTAGACGACCAAGGTATTCCCTGTGCTATTTTTTTAGGTTCTCCATATAAGTGATACTATATATTTGTCTTTTCTGTCTCAATTACTTTACTTAGTATGATCACCTCTAGATCCATACATGTTACTACAAATGGCATTATTTCATTCTTTTTATGGCTGAGCAATATTCCATTCCATGTATGTGCCACATGGTTTTTATTCCTTTGTCTGTTGACAGACATTAAGTTACTTTTATGTCTTTCTATCGTAAATAGTGCTGCTAGAAACACTGAGGTGCATGTATCTTTTTGAATTGGAGCTTTTGTCTTTTCCAGATATATGCCCTGAAGTGGGATTGCTGGATCATACGATAGTTCTATTTTTAGTTTTTAAGAAACTTCCAGAGGTGAGGCAAGGTGAAGGCCCACTGGTGAGGAACACTGGCTGAGATGCAGGCAGCAGCAGCCGCAGGGCCTGGCGAGGAGACCATGGGCGCCTCAACCTCCTGGGGCCTGCCTGCCCGTGTCCCAGCTCCGCACCACGAACCACAGGAGGTTCCGGGCCCAAACCATCTGCCCATCGAGCTGCTCCGGGAGATGCTGAGCTACCTGCCCCCAAGCACGCTGCTCCGGCAGTGCCGCCTGGTGTGCCGGCGCTGGCGAGAGGTGGTGGACGACAAGGACCTGTGGCTGAGCATCCTGTCCTGGAAACACCCCGACCTGTGGCCCGTCATCCGCACCTGCCTGCCCCCTGCTGGCGGCCCCGGGCCCCGCATCCTGGGCCGCTTCTGCGAGCTCAGACCCATAGGGCGCAAGCTCACCGTGAACCCCCTGGAGAAAGACCTCTGGAACTGTATGATGCTGAGCGGTAGCGATGGCTCGGAGGAAGAGGAAGACTTGGGGGTCAGGCTTAAGACTTCTGAGGAGACGAGCTACAGTTCTGCCTACAGGTGTTGGTACAAGGGAGAAATTTTGGATCTGGAGGAGGAGGGCCTGTGGCGGGAACTCCTGGATAGTGGAAAGATTTGGATTTCTGTCTGTCTCAAGAACGTTCTTACATCAGGGTTACTGACTGAATGCAGCCCCTGTTCTACGGAGTGGAGACACACGGGTGAAAACAAGGAAATGGTGAGAGGGCTCCTCACCCTCCCCCCCAGTGCCAGGCCCTCTGGTTCGGCCCCCGTGCCCTCTGCCCTCATCTTCTGTTTCTGCTGCAGAGGCTTCATTGATCACTTCCAAGAATCCCTCTCCTCATGTCTGAACCAGAAACCCATCCCTCTGGCTGAGTAATTCCAGTCCCTAACCTTTCGTGATTTCAAGACTGTGACCAGGACTCAGAGCTGAAAGTTAAACTAGTTCAAAAAATTGTTTAGAGGCAGAGGGTTCTGCCCACCCTGTGCACAATGAATTTGGTCCCCAGAGCCCTGCCCTATTCTGGATTCTATGGTGGATAGAATTATTTTGTTACTTTGAAATTCTTTTTGAATTTGGAGATAATCAGGAATGTATCTTCCAATCATAGTTAATAAATACAATATTTGCCTAAAAAAGAAACTTCCATACTGTTTTCCATAGCGGCTGCCCCAATTTATATTCCCACCAGCAGTGCAGGAGGCTTCCCTTTTCTCCACATATTCTCCAAAATTGTTTATTTGTAGACTTAGACAATGGCCCTTCTGACTTGTAGGGGGTGATACCTTATTGTAGTTTTGATTAGCATTTCTCTAATTATTAGCAATGTTGACCATCTTTACTTATTCCTGTTGGCCGTCTGTATGTCTTTATGAAGAATGGTCTATGTAGATCTTAAGGCAGTGACTTCTTGATGACGATGGTAAAGATAATGATGGTGGCTGCAGTGGTGATGGCAACACAGTGGATGGAACATCTAACAAATTGCAAGGTGCTGTTTGGGTCTGGAGTGCACTGAGAGATCAGTGCACTGGTCTGGAAATTCCCATGAAATTCCAGACATTGTGCAGTAACAGAGTTTGATTCGGAAAAAACAAAAAAGAAAGAGAGAAAAATGAAACCCGTTGGCTGCAACATGTCAAGGAACTTCAGGGTGTGACAAGGAGGTCAACAAGCCTGGGGCAAACAGACCTAGCCCATGGGACCCCCAGGGGAGCCCGTGTTGTCTGACTTGGGCTGAGCATGGGGATGCTCCTCCTCTAGCCCTGGGGACCAGGATGAACACGGGGCCCCCAAGGGTGACTGAGAGCAGAGGGCTTGTGTGTAGGTGTGAGAGAGGGTCAGCCGTAAACAGAGGGGCAGAGAAAGACAGCACATGCCTCACCTAGGCTACCTTCATGTTTCACCAGGAGCTTACAGAACCATCTTCCTGTGTTTACCTTGGGGCACTGCCCTGCCCCCACCCATCTATTCCCCATGGGGCTAGAATGATCCTTAAAAATATCGACCTTAGCAGCACCTGCCTCCAGCTCTTCCCTGGCACCCATGACTCTGAGCATGGATGCCCAAACCTCCCAGTGTAATAGGGGTGGGGTCCTACAGCCGTTAAATCGAGACAGTTAGGAGACTGTCGGCAGGAGACCTGGGACAAGGTAGTTGCAGGTCCCACCCCACCAACAGTCATCCTGGCAGTGGTGTTCTCTCAACGCGGAGTGTGGTAAGAAGGGGATGGCCACCTTCTCCCCAGCCCTCCAGGCCTTCTAGCCTCAGGCCTCCAGGTGAGCTGAAGGGTGGGGGACAGGCTGGGGACGGTTACCTGCAGAGCTCCAGACCCTTGCCTGGCCGCCCACTGACCAGGCCCATCCTTGAGAAGACAGTGGACCTCTCCCCAATCCCCACCCCTGAGCCCTGAGGTGGTGGAGGTCTCCATGGGTCCCAGTCCACTGAGGCCTCAGCAACTGGAGTAACTGGACACTGTCATTAAGGTGACAGCTTTAACCAGCTTCAGTCACTCCATTCAAGTTCCAAGAACTGGT